GTCGTCCGTAGGGACATTGGCCCGGTGCCCGGGGAGCGCCCCCTGCTATTTGGACACCTCTCCGCTCTCCCAAACGACAGAGAGTATGTCCCCTTTGACGCCGCGCGAGACATAGCGGCCGGCCACCAGGTGGCCATCGCCATGTCCGACGCCGACGCCAAGGAATGGGGCCGGCGCTTCGACATTGCCCTTGTCAAGGGGGCCAGGGCCACGGAGGGGTGTGATTCTGCGGTGAAGAAAGTATTCACAGTCGCGTACTACGAGAGCGAGTTCCAGCCCCAACCCCCCTACAACTTGGGGACCCTCCGTTTTGACGCCGCGGACGATGCCCAGCTCAATGGGCGCTGGGTGGAAGGGCGGCAAATGCAGGGGGAGGTGTCCTCCGACAACGTTATTTGCGATGTTTGGTTGGAGGCCAATGGGGTTGGGAGGGGGTGCATCCACCCCCAGTACAAACGGCGTCTCCAGGCGGAGCTGGAGCGTTGGGATGAAATGTGCTACACAGGGGAGGGGCCACTTCTATAACTAGCGGCTTGTGATTTCCATAGTGTGCATCGCCAGTTGTAATTGTTAGTGCGAAGCCATGCTGCACCCACAGCCTGTGGGTCGCATGCATTGATTGTGGTTGGCTGCAGGCGTCCCAGACCGGCTTCATACCCATTCTTTTTGTGCGCAACATTGTGGTTTTCCCACGCGTGTGGGCCCCGAAAAATGGCACGTTTGTGTGCATCCCTATTGATATGGCCTTTTTCTTGCATTTTGCTAGTGCGCAAAATGCACGTTTTGTTGTTTTTTATGGCCCCCTTACCGACATTTTGCACGAAAGCTTGTTCGTATAGCCGCCCTGGTATAAGGACACCCAGTATGCAATTTTCAAGGCTAAGGAACGGGCAAATTCACGCAAAATAAATCATGTGCGATTTACGTCAACTCCGATTGAACTACAGTTGGACTCTATAGATATGAACATGATACAAGCCAGTTTCTCAACTAAGGGAAACAAGCGCTGGATATTCATAACCAAAAACGTTTATGTATTGTGCGAAGGTGCAGGGTGAGTAGAAAATTGGGGGCGGGACCCGCCCGGCGGGTTGTAAGCGATTGATGTTTTCAATGTCGAAATCATAATGCGTGAAATATGAGGGTAATCAAGGGTGTGGATAGGCGACATGGTGGATGTCGTGAGATGCACCCGACAGCGATGCTCACATGATTGGCGCCAGACTTTGCTGTCTTTCTACTGTCAGCGACATTCACAGTGACATTTCAAGGAACCGAGAAGTCTGCATACACCCGAACCATGCGGAATGCTCATAGTGGAAACCCCAGGCTCGTCTGTTGCAACAAAATCGGAAAAGCGCCGTGGAAACCAAAATTTTGACACATTCAATAAGAGTTCATTACTTAACTGCGCCTCTTCGAATCGCGAAATAATCTAAAATTTGAAAAGAGAAATCTCCCTCGAGAGTTTGGCATCAGCGGCATTCGGAAAATCAAAATTCCGCACATCATACTCTGTCTCTCCACATCCAATGAAACCATTCCAAGTGCGATTGCGAACATATATGTGTCTGTAGAGACGGCGAAAAGCCGGCATCGTAGGCGAGGCTGCAAGTTTTCGTGGCGCGAATTGAGCTCAAAAACACGTATTCAGTATCGAACCTCGTGCTGTGTGCTGTACACACTCTTTGAGCATCCCATTGCAGTGGGCTTACCCAGCTTCGGTTCGGGATCGTTCCAAACAGCAACTCCGCGGCAGCACTAGGGTCGTTATTTGGCCTCTTCGCGCAGGACGCCCGCCGTGTCCTGCACGTTTGAGGCAGGGCGCGCGACGCGGCCTCGCCAGAAAGTCACATCGAATGAAGGCATTGTTTGCCGACGACGCGGAGGGGGACCAACGAAGGCGCACCGTGGTGCTCACGGCGCGTGAGCCGCACGACCTGCGGTGCCGGTCGGGTATAAATTCTGAACGGAGAGACCCAATTCGATGTCTCCGGGACGAGTCAGCAAGGTGGGAACGCGGCAGTCTGGAACGGGCCACCGTTCCGATCGAGCCGCAGCGCCGGGTGCATAGCCCCGCCAGCTGAAACTCGAATTCTGAATTCGCTCAGCCGAGCCATGCATCCATCTTCGTAGGGGAGGGGTGCTCGCGGCGCAAGAGGCTGAATTCCGAGCAGGCTTCGGCTCGAGAATGCAGCTTCAGCGCTCCCGCCTCCTCTGCCACGGCCTCCTATGCCGCGGGGGGCGCAGGAGCGCTGACGGGGTTTACTGCGACCATGCAGGTGCCGCGGTGCCGAACGCATCTCGTACTTGCGTGCAGGTGCAGCCAGCTGCAGCATCCATGGATTTGCTTAGGCGGCCGATCAAATCGACGATCGAAGACATGATTTCAGAGCGAATGTGCGTTCGTGGTTTCGCTGTGCTACTCTTGCCACACAGCGCATGGCGATGCACCCCGGCCCCCCGCCACCCCCCCCGCAGTTGTTGTAATGGCACTATTGTGCCTGTGGGGCGCTATTTCACATGGAGAAACCTTGTGTTACTGGTGCCCAGCACGGCGCTGCTTCCGACGCGATCGCCCGTGTGCATGCAGCTCCATTTTTGAGGCGGGCGGACCGATTTCCATTGGGATGGATCTGTGCGCAGGAAAGAATGGAAGAGCTGAAGCGCAAGGTGTTTCAGTTCAGGACCGCGAAGGGCGATCCAATAATGAACGTCGCTTTGGTCGGCGGCGTGGGCGCGGGAAAGAGCTCGCTGATTTCCACGGTGGCTTCCGCTGAATGTGGATACATATCGCGATGCGCGCCCCACGGGGCGGGAACCAAGTCGCTGACCTCAAAATTCAAGAAGTACGTCTTCGGCAAGCGCGGGGCGGAGGCTCCCTTCCACCTGTACGACACCATGGGGTGGTCGTCGGACGACTGGAAGCCGGAAGACCTGAGCCTGATGTCCATGGGCTATGTCCCCAACGGAACGGACATGTCGAGGGGCATCCGCGGCGTGGAGCGGATGAGAAAACTGCGCAGTGACCCGACGGTCGACGACCGAATGCACTGCATCGTGTTCGTGGTGCCCTGCGAATGCGTGGGAAACGAGGCGTACATGGAGCATCTGAACACGCTGAAGGACGAGGTTTTTTGTTCTGGTGAGGCTCGAACCCGAATTCAGGAATGCCCAAACTGCCCCTCGTGCATGTTATCTTTTTCTGTATGCTGCCGTAAGCATCCGGAGGGTGGATTTTGGAAAGCAGAACGCCACTGAGGAGTCGGTAAATTATACCACATTTCACAGGCTCTGGTGGATATATTGCCGCTTTTTAAAAGGGTGCGCTTTTGGGTATCGATACTTTTTACCACAAATCTTGCACATCTGCATCGACACATAATATCAAATCTTCAACGCCTCCTGAAATATCACAACGATGCAATTGCTATGCACCAAGATGTTCCGGACTTCCAGATGCGGTGGGCGCGACGGTATACGGCCCGTTTGAACGAGGACGTACGCTGTTCGCATCGAAATCCTTTGCCCATGCTCGATAGCGCGCGAAATTTCAATGCACAGCAGGTGTTGCGCAACAACTTATAAACAGTATTCATTCATTTACTATTTAATCAAGGCCCTTTTCTCACAAGTTGGAATATGGTGACTGACTAGAGCTCTGCAGGTGTTGATGCTGAAAATTGCTCTTGATGCGCAGACATGCAGCCGATGGTGGTGCTCACGAAGATAGACGAAATTAATGCAGATATGAACATTCTGGAGATCATGGCATCGAGCGATCTGAAGAGGCTGAAGAAAGTGAGTGCAATGTGAGGAAAATAATTCATTGCCTTGATTTAAGTACCAGCGACATTTGTCAATATTGTCGCAGAAGTCCGAGCATCGGCCAGGATTGCAAGATTGCACGCGGGGGAGTAACAACTGAAAGCTGTGAAATAGTGGCAGAGTTATTAACTGCATATACCTCTATGGCGCATCTCGAATTTGGCGGAGCAGTACTAAACACTCGCTTGAACATAATACTTTACTGAAGAAGGGGAGGTCATCTGATGAAATACGCAATAAGATGAACGGACATAGCAATGAATCAGCATAGCTTTGATCCAATGTTCTGCATATAATAGAAGCTACACAAATGCACTTAATTAGGTGCATCTTTTTCACTAGAAATACTCTGGAGTGGAATAGACACGCGGCTTAGGCTACTGCGGAAAGCCATTTGTGACTGCACACTGCGGGACAATCCGCGTCCGCGTCTGCAGCTTGGAACTCATCACGCTTCTGATGTTTTACATTTGACATTTTATATTTGGTGGTTCTGGACGTGCACACTGGATCTGCCGTAGGTTCCTTTCTTCCAAACACAATGCGGCAACTCTCCTGCCCCTGACACTAGGGAAAAAAGTTGCCAAATAACACGTGTTCAAGCGTGTACAAAGTTTACGGGTTCGGGTTGTTTTTGTGTTCTTAGCGTGCAGAACTTTGATGAAATGTGTTTTATGTGTTCTCGCGAAAGCGTTATTTGGTCCTTTTTCGGCTATTGCGACCAAGGGGAGAAGCGGACTGGCGTCGCAATTGACAGGCGTTTTGTCCGTCGTTCAAAGGATATGAGGCACTGCGATTTTTAAAGCTACACGTTTGCCAGATGCTATATGCTAACAGAAAACTGCAGTGCGCTAATTGAGTGATGCCACTTCATATTCTTCCCACAGGAGCTGTTCGTGCTGAGCGGTGTTCCCATGAATTGCATCCTTCCTGTCAAGAATTTCGAGAGTGAGATGAGCGTTGAACCGGAGGTGGCAGTTTTCGCCCTGAAGGCTATGTACGAAATTCTGAACACGGCCGCGACGAACTACAGGATGATGAGCGAGCAGTAGTGCAGGTTTTCACTTGCACGAGCGCACCGTACATTATTCTCCCAAGGGGGGCCACGATGTTTTATACCTGCTGCTCTGACGGGGTGCCAGGCCACTCGCAGTAAAGGCACCGCGGCGTGGTCAACAACAGTGCGAAGGAGAGGGTGTTGCAATATCGGTAAGTCCAGGGCAATTGCGTCTGGGGGTTTGAGTGGCTACCATGATCCAAGGGGGCAAGCAAGGGATAAGCATTTATGATAGTATTACTACATCAATGCAAATGTGAGCATGACGCAAGGGCGACTGAGATCGGGTGACCTGAGGAGGAACCGCAGTACTTGTTGTGCAATGGCTGTAACTGAGGAAATCGCGAACCGTTTGCAATGGCCTTCCTGAATCGCTCCTAATGAGCTTGTCGCTGTGGCCATGCCGGTCGCAAATCTGGAGACACAGATACGTTGCAGCGGCGCAAGGTGCTTGTAAACTGCTGTTTGGATTCACTAAGCTCCGCGCAACGACGTGTGCTCCCATGCCTTGGGAATGGTGCCTCATCCGTTCTCGACCAGGTCTTGTCCTCCCGTCCTTCCTTCCGTTCCTCCCCGCTGGCCTTTCTGCCTGTCCGTGGATTGGCTACAGCCGGTACAAGTACGCTGCGGAGGAAGCAGAGCGCCACCGGCACTTTGGCTCTCTGTTGGCGTTCGTTGCAATTTCACATGCAACACGGATCGCCAACTTCTGCGATCGATTTTCGTGTTTGCTGTGGCGACATCGTCTCGATTTCTACCGAATTGCGCATGAGACAAGCAAAACAGCGACTGCGTGGCCGCTTCTAGGAGGCAGGGCCTTGGCGCTGCCCCTGAGCACAGGCTGTTTCCTGTGGTGCTGGTCGGATCTTGGATGCGCAGTGACAACCACCCTGGAGCGTCAGCGGATTCGGCCTCGTTACAGCTGAGTGCAGGTGGCAAAGGCAATGCAGTGCCGTTGCATCGGCAAGGCGATAGCAAGGGAAATGGGCTGGAACAAAGCAGAGGCATTTTGGGAAAACATTTGGGAAGATTTCTGTGTTGATACACTGACGATGCACGTGTGCATTGTTTCCAGTGTGATCCACAAGGGATGCGAGGAGCTTCGGTTCCGTTAAGTCGGAAGCATCATGAAGACCAACCATTCCACCAAAGTTGCGTTCTTGACAGAAGGCTAGCCGTACAATTGAGGCCCGATGAAGTACAAGGAACTGGAAGGCTGGTGCATTCGCACCAAAGATGGAAAGTTTGCAATTGTCTGGTCCATTGCGAAGCGACCGCGACGAGGATCCCGCCAACCAGACACTACTGTCCTCCTAGCACATCGTGACATGCAACAGGCGCCATTCGATTCCATGGCACCTCTCCAGGCGCCCTCGTAGGGTATGGCAAACCTGAAAAATCTGAAGGTGGGAAACGTCCCACGTCAACCACCCCGCGGCGTTCCACATCATTTCAGCACATTCCACGCAACACGCGCACACCCCACAGCCCAAACTTCCACACCGCCGCGCCCAATTTTTAGTCACCGCCACCAAGCGCGTCCGCACGATGCCGTCCGACTCCACCAGCCTCCATAAGCTCCCAAAGTCCGCGCCCACTGCAACAAACCCCTCCCTCACCAGGGAAAGAAAAAAACACAACCCGAGGAAACGAAAAGGCAACGTCCAGGGCCCAGCTCCCAGGTCCCCGAGGCCCACCGGCTCAGCTCTCCGCCCCACCCGCCTCCGCCTCCCTCCCCTCCCCGCCCGGCTCCGGTGGCCGCAACAGGCGCCCCAGTTTGTTCATGTCAATGATCGTGATCGCGAAGTTGCCATCTAGCTTCACAATCCCTTCGTGCCCGTCCACGCCCACTATAGCTCCCGTCCTTCCCCGGTACTCCCCCTCCAGCACCTTTATGTGGTCGCGCTTCTGCGGCGGCACCGGCCTCACGGAATCCACCGACGCCGCCTCGACCCGGCCGGTCTCCACGAACTCCCCCCGCTCGCCCTCGCTGACCCGTTCCACGGCGAAGCTGCCATCCCCGCTCACATCATTCACCACACCGTGCCCGCCATCGGCCATCTGGACAAGCAGGCCGATCATGTGCGATGCCTCGGACGCGCCCGCAGCGGAATCGCCGCCGATCGCGCCCGCCGGGCAGTCCCCTGCTGGAGTCATGCCGGGCGTCATGCCCGGGGTCATGCCGGGCGTCATGCCGGGGGTCATGCTGGGGGTCATGCCTGGGGTCATGGCGGGCGGGATGCTGCGCGTGACGCCCGGAGTCACGCCTGGAGTGTAACCGGGCGTCTGTGTGGGCGGCGGAGCGGGGGTGATTGCCGGAAGAAGCCCCGGGGTCCGGCCATCCAATGGCGTGAATCCTCCTGCCGATGGCGCCACCAAGGATCCCGGGGTGGGGACGTCAGCGGGGGTGGGAGCATCGGCCGGCGTGGATGCCGCCAGGGCATCCCCGGGGGAGGGGAAGGCCGGCGTGCGCACCGGCGTGTAGGGCGCCGAGGGCCTGGGAGGGGGCATCGATGACGGCTGGCTGGACGGCGGCGGACGGAAGCTGCCGGGAGGGTCGTCGTCGTCGCTGCTGCTGCCTTGCGCCGGGCTCAGGACGGACGCGGGGGCGTTGTTGAACATGCTGGTGTGCAAGGGGGTGGCGGATCCGCGCGGCGTGCCGCGCGCGCCCCCCAGACCCGGGTGCATGGGCGTCATGGTGGGGTGGTAGGGCGTCTGAGGGTGGGCGGGCGTAGTGGGCGGGCGCAGGGGCGTCTTGGTGAGGTCGCCGTTCCAGGGGGTCTCGGATCCGGCGCGCCGGGACCGGCGCTTGCGCCGGCTGCCGTCGTCGAGCTCCAGCTGCCTTATGTCCTTAGTGATCACCATGCTGTTGGAGTCCAGCTCCATGCGGACGTGGGTGTCCGTCTCGCTCAGCACGCGGCCCCGCTTGCCCCAGTGGATGCCCTTGGTGATGCGCACCGTCTTGCCCACCAGGGACTCCTTGAAGCGGCCGCCCCCGCCAAAGCCGCCCCCGCCCCCGCCAAAGGCCCCGTTGCCGAAGCTGTAGGCCGACCCAGCCGGGCTGGCAAGCCCTGCTGGGGACCGCAGTGGGTTGGGGGATTGCGGGCCATAGCCGGGGCTCTGAGGCACGTAGCTGCGGTAGGGCGTCTGGGATGGCGTCAGGCCTCGGCTCGTGGGGCCCGTCTTCTTGCCCCCCCTCACCTTGCACGACCGCGATGGCACCGCGATGAAGCCCATGTTCTGGGTCGTCTCCTGCGACTTGATGAACAAGTAGCCCTTGATGATGTACTCCACCGTGCCGTGGGTGCCCCGCATCGGCCCGTTGGCCACGTCCACCACGTCCCCCACGCCCACGCTGTTGGCGAAGCAGTCGTTGGTCGTGCTACGGCGCGTGTTCATCTTGCGCCGGATCTGCACCAGCCGGGCCGCGCGCACCTCGGGCTTGTCTGGGGTGCCCTCCGCCACCAGCACCTTGCAGAAGTCCTTGTCCACGTACACGATCACGCCAAAGGTGTTGCTGTCCAGCTCCACCAGGTCGTGCAGCTCGTAGTCGCCAATCGAGTCCAGGCCCACGGGGGCCAGCTCTGTTTTCGACAAATCCCTCGAAAAGACCATGAACTCCTTCTTGGTCATGTCCGACATGACTCTGCACTGCACCCCGTTGGCCTCCACCTTCAAAATCATGCCCATCTCGCCCTCGTGCATTCCTCCCTCCACTCGCACGTGGTCCCCCACTTGGAAGAACTTGCACAGCTCCCCGCCATCGAACAGCAGGGCATCCTTGATCTCCTGGTGGTCCAAGCGCACCTCCACCTTTCCATCCTCCTTGATCTCGTGCACGAAGCCCGTCAACTTCTGCAGGTCGCCCTTGGTGACCACCACCCTGTCGCCTTTCTTGTACGCCTGCTTGGAGGTGGGCAGTGAGCGGCCCAGGTTGGCCAGATCTGTGCAGAAGGAACGCCCCACCATGTCACTAATCAAAGAATCAATGCTGCTACGGGGCGGTCGGTAAGTGGAGCCCGAAGATGGTCGTGGATACACAAGGAGATAACGCTAGTGGAGAGCCAACAAACTCTTTGAATTAGAAGGTGCCTTAGATCTCCTCAGACTTGAGGAAACAGTACCATCCTGACAAACCAACTGCGTGCCAAAAGTTTTCGACCTGCTGTAGTGCGCGTGGGGCCAGAACCTCCATAACGAATATTGGTTTGTTTGTACAGTCTCATTGAACTGGTGGAACACCACGGCAGTGTCATATGCTGCTGCGTAGCATTCTGCCAAACTGCACATCAGCCATTCCTACAAGTGAGCAGGTTGTTGACACATCCAGCGCCCATGTATACTATTTAAGAGACAGAAAATGGAGAATTTAGAAAGACCCATCGAGTAAAGATCTCCTTATCGCCTGGAAAGGGACTTTAGTTGAGCAGCTTTTCAGTGTGAGTCTATTATCTATACTTGGAAATGTCTGGGCAGGCCGTGGCACATTTAGTGTAAGATCCGTTAAATCTCCCTAACCCCATCCTCAAGGATTGAGAACTCCCTTTCTGACCAACAGAAATGCAGTGAACTACAATGAGCTGCCCAGAATCTCCTAATCTTTGTTCAGAACAGAATAGCATCACTACAGCAGCAGCAAGAGATAGCCACTGCGGCTATTGGTTTTTCAATCTCCCTGCTTTAATCCTGTAACATTTGCTAGATTCTGGTAGATGTGTTAAACTAATACTCCAACATACCCATGCTACTGAAGGACATCACATCAATGCACAACATCGGCTCAAACAGGCATGAAGGACTTCGAGCACTCTGGGAAACCACCAGAAGAAAAAAGGTGGGGAGAGTTATCCAGAGGGTGGTGTGTGCACAGTGCATGCACCTACTCAGCCTTGTATTGATACGTAGCGATGGGCACTGATGGACAATGACAGATTGTATTACACAACTACATTTACTAATACCTCACTACACACTGAGGCAGTTCAAATTGGCACATGCTGGTTGACAGCCAGAGCAGGCGAGGTGAATGACAGAGACACGCACCCATGTCGTCATCCTGACCCTCCTCCCTGTTAAGCTGCCCTGCCATGTTGAAACGCTGCAGCTCGTCCAGCGGTGGCATCGTGTCTTCTGGCACCACCGACTTCATGGCCACATTCTTTATCAGGTACCCATTCTGAAACTGGTAGCTGAACACCATCAGGAAGTGCTCCCCATTGCCCCCTCGCTTCCTCTCCACTGGCAAGTTCAGCGACCGTGCCTCGTCGGCACTGAAAGGCTTGGCCGTGGGCCGCACCTTGGGCTGCTGGCCAAAGGGTACCGCACGCCTGTCCTCCCGGTGGTGAAGGGAACTGAGGTCGATTCGGGGGATGAGTTTGATCACAAGGCGGGAGTTGGCATAGTCGATGTCTAGCACCTTGGCCAGGTCCCCCCGGTAGGCTCCTGACCGCACCCGCACCCATGATCCCCGCTCCAGAGTCATCTTTGCCATCTTGTTCACAGTGATCGCATCCACCATCTCTGACAGGGGCACCTGCATTCACATCATGCAAGTGAGTAGGTGCGTGGGTAGGAAACTCACATCGGTGCTGTGCAAATGGATCCCATTACTTTGATGACATGAAGACTAAGGAGATCACATTGTGGTCTGTTTTAGCAGGGACTTATGCCTGCCAATGCCTTCCAACTGTGACAGCATCTTGCTGCCACATCTCAAAAAAGGTGATACAGATGGAACCACGCACCTGCTTGACCCCCTTGGAGTGAAATATGTTCCGCAGGCCCTTGAGGGCCTCGCGTACATGGGCCTCCTTCTCAGCCTCAACATAAATGTACCCCTTGAGGTGGTCCAGGCACACCGCAGACTTTATGAGCAGGGGTTTGCCTTGGTTGGTGTAGGCATGGAACTTGTTGAGTAGCTGTATGCAGATGGTCTTTTCGTGCCCAGGACGTATGTGTACTACCCAGAGCTTGGGGTCTTTCAGGGTTGGGAGCAGGTTCTGCTGGGAGGCTGTGGTGGAATCCCCAGCCTGCTCCGCGTAATTGTGGTCCTTGTATCTGTCCCTGATGAATTCTTCAAGATCCTCAGGCTCCTCCACACCTTGGTCATTGACCTGCAACAGTCCTGCAGATCAGTATCCCTGGCTCGATGCCAGCAGCACTTGCGACGTTCAGTGGTGTATTGCAGGAAAGGCAAAAGAGCAGTGCCTCAGAATATTTTGCAAGTTTGATGAGGAACAAGAACAGAACTGTGTACTTTGAGCACACCAATTGCCAGGGATCGCCAGCAATGCTTGAGATGAGAGTAAAGCATCGAGAGGGCAGTGTTCTATTTGGACATAGGTGGCCAAAAGTTATTCTTTACCCATACTTGATTGTTTAGTTCACCAAATTTTCATCTGGAGTGGGACGAAATTGCTAGAGATGGCTTTGAAGAGTAGCCTGGCGCACTGACAGCCACACAGGCTGTTTCTGATTGGCAAAGCTCCCTTTAAGGGTTTAGGTACAGTGGCAGAGGGAGATTTCAGCACAGTAGAAGCTTCGAGAACAACATAAAGCATCCTAGGGCGTGCAGGAAGCGCGTTCAAAGCCACCTTGGAGGTTTTAGTGTGACCTAATTGGGAAGGAGCGCTTCTGTTGCTGCACTGCAATCCAATGCGACAGCATCAGGACCCCATGATGTCCACAAACACGTACCTGGATCCGATTCACCCTGAAACTCCCTACGACACCCCGAACCTATCTCCACCCACCCACATAACTGAACCGCTTTCGAAGCCCCACTCCATTCCCCGCCCCCCTGATCACTTCACAGCAGCAATCACCCCAAACCCGCCCCATCGAACACGACACCACACACTGTCAGGAATCCCCCGCCACCGGTCATTCCCTCCTCCCACACCCCGTCGTCCTCCCCTCCCTTCGCCCCTGTCCCTGCTGTCCGCCAGCCCCCTCCCAATTCACGTCCAACGCTAGTGGCAACAGCCAAATACCCAACCCTGCGCCGGCATCGGCGCTGGCAACAATAAACCCCCCGCCCTCACCCCACCGGCCACCCACACTCACCGGAAACTGTCGGTAGAAGTGTGACTGCGTCTGCGGCAGCTCATCGTCTTCTTCCCTCAGGTCCCTGTCCGCGATCAGGTCCAGGTCCCCCTCCTCCTCCTCGCTCTCCTCGTCGCCGTCGTCCACCCCGGCTATGATGTCCAAGAACTTCCTGGCGTCGCCGCGATTCCGCCCCCCCAGGTGGTCGTCGTCCTCCTCGGCGTCCCTGTCCGCCTTGCGCTTGGATCCCAGCCGGGGACGGGAGCGGCCGTAACGCGGCTCCGCGGCGTCCTCGAGCTCCTCGTCATCCTCTTCATCGTCCTGCTCTTCGTATTCGTCGTCGTCCTCGTCGTCGTACTCCTCTTCATATTTGCTGCCCGCCATCTTGCGGCACGCGCTGGCGGGGGAGGGGCGCCGCGGGCAGGTGGTGGGACGGGAGAGGTGTTGTTGGTATCGTGTGCAGAGTCCTGGACAAAGAAGTAGAGTATCGGCGGTAGGGAGAATTTGGACTGCATTCTGCCTGCATAAGCATTGCGTAGAAAAAATGAAGGTACTCGCAGGTACTATCCAGGTGCAATGCGCCACCCCGTCATTATTTTGGCTATACCGCCTTACGTTATTGGTGGTCTGTTCAGGGGTTGGTTGTGCACAAGCCACCAGAAGGCTCGTGGTGTAAGTCAAAATGGCCGCGCCAGTACTGTGATGCCGTTGTCCTTGTAGACACAGGTTGACACGTGTCCAATCTCGCCAGATTGTATGTCGTTATCGCGTCGATCAACAATGCGACTAGCAACAATCGCCACAACTAAGGCACAACACCTTACTACAGGCTCAGGCAAGAACGAGCTTTTCAAACTAGTTTAGCTCTTGCAAGATTGGCTTGTTCCTTGGGGCTGAACACGCGACTCGTCATTCCAACGTCGCCAAGGCCACCATATCTTGTTAGATTCAACTGAAACCCAAACTATTCAATAGTTAGTTTCTTTTGCTTCATCAGTTCGCCGTCTATTGCCCTCTCCACCCTAGCCAAGCCCCTAGTAAAGTGCCAGGCAAACCCTTCAAGCATAACGCTGCATCGATCCAGATGCTTATCTATCTTTTGTGATGGTAGAATACTTGAAGTTCCGAGATTTGCATTTGCCCTCTAAGAGCCTGGCGAAATTCGTCTGGCTCAGAACGTACTTTCCACCATAAATAATTTTCGTCGTACCCGGAGTAACCCGAAAAGCCCGTCTTCAAAATTTCGTGTAGCGCTTTCTGCTGGAAAACCAACCAGAGCACAAAAAACAAATGAACCGTTTCCCCTTGCCTGAAAATCGACCAGCACGCAACGTCCGCTGCATCGCCCTCGCGCAGAGGTTTGCAACGGCAGAAACTGCGTTGTGCATTTAATCTCATAATTCCTCGGGTTTTCGGACTCGTCGTTGTTTGGGGAACAGATTTCGCGGATTCTCGCATCAAGAATGCTGGAGGGGCAAATTTTTGCAAGTGCGCCGAAGCGAAAACTCTAAAACATTGTCGCAACAGTTCAGAACGACGCAGCTGCGGTGCCGGCACAGCCGTCGTCACTGCCCCTTGCGCCCCTCGACTCGAGGGCCTCGAGCTTCCGACCTCGCGAGGAGACAACCGCCCGAGCACCTAACTGCCTGACCAGCACCACCCGCCGGGCGACCTCCTGGACCTCCTGAACTGCCAGCGAAGGGACGAAGATGCAGAGCCGCTCGAACCTCCTGTTCGACGACATCTTCGAGGTCTTGGAAATGGACCCGGACGGGAAGAAATTTGACAAAGGTGCGGAGGCGCACCGCATCCTTGCCGATCGCGCATCCGGCGCAGCCCTGAAAGGCGGCCTGTAGGGGTCTTTCATGCATTCTGTGCATGGTTGGCCTCCCAGGCGCATGTTTCCTCTGTGGGCTACCCAAGCCGTCTTTTCACTGGATGCCAGATTCTCGATCTTCCCTCCCTGGGCAAAGATTCTCCTCGGGTCTTGGGGGCTTGAAGACTCACACTCACACGAGTTGACGGTCCAGGCGCTCCTTTTCCTGGATTGTTTTGTTTGATACCAATGCGGGCCAAGTGCGCCATGCACATGACTTCTTCTTGTGTTGCTCCTGGCGGAATGTAAGGAATACCAGCTCCGGTCAGTCTGTGGTGAAGCTCTTCCCTCGTCCCGTCGTTTCTGGTGCATTGAAACATTGTTTCATTCACCCCCCTGTTGCAGAATGGGAAGGTGTCCCACGGCACAATACGTGAAGCAAGGCGTTGCTGTATTTGAGCCCTTGGATCATTGGGCCACTCCAATATCTTCCTTTCCATTTGTCAGTGAGCACAACAAAGGTCCACTATGGGACCTGCCAGGTGATGTAAGACACTGGTGACAAAATGAAAACGGAAAGGTGTTGTCCCGAAGAATTGTGTTTCCATTTTGCCACATGCAAGGAGTGGCCTATTGCCTTGACAGGAATTTGTCACACATTGTGCGCCATCAGGAAGATTGCTTTATGTCTCGTTTCTGTGCTATAGAAGCTGATTCGGAAACACCAGCAACGTGTGCTTGTTTGTTGTCTGCAGTTTCTCGATTCCATTGCCGGAGTGACTTGTATGAGATGGACTTGAAGCTGGACATCAATACGGACATCTATCCCATATCGGTATGGTTGCAACTGTTGCTGAGATCCTTTGGATTGGGTTGGGCTTTGTGGGCCCAACCAGTGCCCTTAGAAAAATCTAAAAATCATCATCACCGCCCAGCAATTAAAATCCCATTTGCTGCCACACCATCAGAAGTGTTAAGCTCAGCATAGCTTTATTCCACAATCTGATCTCATCTTTCAAGCACACAGAGGAATGTGCCATGCAATGTGTGCACCTACGGAGCAACAAGCCTTGTTGGATGCTTTTGTCCACACTCTAGACGATCATGCAGCAGATTCTGAGTGCAAAAGGAGCAGCAGTCCCTTCAACACTCCAGCTTCTCAGTGCAAGAGAGATCTCACATACATCTGCTGTGTCAATGCTCAGAAGATCTGAATGGTTGTTTGAGCTCCCACCTATTGCACACGGACGCTCATTTGAACTGTCTTCCACTCGTTGTCCTAGGGGACCAGATGTCGAATTGAACAGTGCCCTGACAATTGCTTTCCTTCTTTGGAGGGACGTGCTATGTGCAGAAGTCCTTTGGTCGAATGTACAGGAGAGGATAAAAACGTAACATGAAAAAATGATAGAATAACACACGCATGACGAACGGACGCAAACGATGCAGAAAGATATAAGATGGATGTGAAATGATAGACAAGCCCACAGAGCTATGTGAGGCTGAAAGCTAATGCCTTTTGCCTTTTCCTGCACTGCTGTTCTTGTGGAGTCCAGTTGCGTGATGTGTAGGCTGCTGGACGCATGGGAATGCAGCTTTGCATCGTGTGTTTTCAGGTGCTTTCAGCCTGCCATGGCAGTGGCACGACAGCATGATTGTTGATGTGGCTCAATCAGTATGTTGTGTCACTTCTGTCCAAGAAGGGCAAAATTAGGGGCCAGGCATCCCTACACAAAAGTTCATTGTTGATAAATAAATGGTTGAATCAACGGTTTGATGTGGGACTTGACTTCATGTTGCTCCATGCTGAATGCAAGGCATATCCGTTCTGCTCTTGTGGCATGTTTGCAGCCCTGGTTGGCCAGTAGTAGTCTTAACCAGAGTCTCCCTTGCCATTGTGGGCTGTTCAATCCTTGGTGCAGTTTTACCACAACAAGTTCATTTTCAGTCCCTCCCCTGTCATTAATTTGATTCAATCCCTGAGAAATTGTCAGCTTCAATTCCCAGGTGGGCGAGAAGCTGTCAATGGCGCTGGCTGACACGCTGAAGCTGGATGGCAGTGCGACTTCTGCGTTGTATGAGCCAGTGAGTGCCTGCTGATGGGTCAGAATCAACAGAATAGTGATAGACAACTGCTACTTCTGAAGCACCTCTTGAACTGATATTCTGAACTACTTCTTGAAGTATAATATTATGCTAACTTACAACATGTGAAATATAATGGACAGCATACAGTACCATGATGGTAATGTATTTACCCAGTGTTAGTATCCACCCCCTATTACTATCACCCCTTTCTCTGGCTCCAAATCATATCAGTATCTGTGACCCAGTGTTTGTATCCACTGCAAACCTCCATGGCAACGAGCTCAAGGGGCTCGTTGGATTCACCCAGCATAGAGGAAGCTAGTTTGCGCGTCTTTATTTGCGCATGTCCAAGCAGCACAGCACTGCTGTTGCACGCCTTAACATGTGACAACTGCTGCAAAGTTCTCACCCTGTAGTGCCGACACGATGTGTGTGATGGCTGCACACCTCACAGCTTGCACAGCCAATCTGATTGGTGGGAAAGTGGCTGTTTCCTTGTCGAGCAACTGCAGGTCATGCGCCCCTGGCACAGTGACAGGCCTAGAGTCGTCGGCGGACATGCCGTCTTTGTCTCTTGCATCACAGTTCTTGCCATGGTGCACACCTCTGCCACAGCCACACTGCCTCCTGTGGCACGGGAGCACAACAGCGACTGCTAACTGCATCTCGCCACCTCAACTCCGCGCAGCGTGGCCTGTCAGCCGCATTCATTTCAGCTGCATGTTTTGCATTATTTCAAACCCGTTTGGGGGTATTTCGAGGCCCAATGTGCAAAAATTTTCTTCCTCTGCTCCTTGGATCAGGGCCTAGACCGTTTTAATATCAATGATCCAAAATTTAATATCCGTCACTAATTTGCGAGGTCCAGTATACGTATGCTGATACTGGGTAAATGCAGTAACATCATTTTGCAGTGTTTCAGCCACACTTTTGCCCAAGAAAGTTGCCCACAACAATTTGCCACAATTCAGGCTGCTCTGCGGCCACATCTGTTGGTGCCATATGCGGCATCGTTCTTCTCAAGTTTGGCAACAGTATTTATACTTGGAAATGGATAATGCAACTATACAATAAGACCCATTGTATTAACAGGCGTACGAGGTACAGATTAGGTTGTGTTTCTGTTCATTATTGACAGCAAGTTGGCATGCTGGCTGACCCTTCCTTCTATTTTACACCAGGATTGGAACAAAAATCCTAAAAGAAATTCCTATCCTGCACTCACAGGGCAGAAAAGCGGAACTTTGCAGACACAGCATTGAAGCTAAGCACATGGGCAACTCTTACCTGGCACCTGGCTCATCTTTTCCTATTCGCACATTGTGAAGAAGTGTGTTTGACTTATGCTTTCTGTTGACACTGGCCAAGGGCATGAGCCAGCCAGGTTGCAATCTATTTGTTTCCTTATATTTTGAGCGTTGTTTGCTCGTCTTGTGGCAAACCAGCAGTCCTTTAAGTCGTTGGGCAGGGAGCACGGACTAGAGCGGATTCGGGGTAAACATGTGTGCACTTGATAAGTGTCCGATGTCGCCAGATGGCCACAAGAGGGAGAGATTTGTTGGATTTGTCAGCACTGTGGTCAGCGGAGTTTTGCGCCTGTGTCTGTGCAGCAACAATTTTTTGCGGGCACGAAGAATTTGATGGACAAGTACGAGTGCGTGATGTACGGCAAGATTTTCAAAATGAGGGATGGAGACGAGGGCAAGACTGACGTGTATGCGTCGTTTGGGGGCCTCTTGATGCTGCTATCGGGCGACCCCCAGAAGCTGGCAGGTCTGGAGGTCGATGAGAATGTGTACCTCTTGCTCAGGAAAGTGTGACAATGGTGGTGCAAGCTTGACTGTGTTGACGAAAACAGCTCAGGGGGAGAAGTGCGATTGCAGCGTTGCGCGGCCCTTGCTGAGGAATTGTGGCGACGAGGGTGCGCATATCTTGCCGTGGAAATGCGGCGTTGAAGTGCGCGCCTCTTTGGAGCGAGATGAGGCGACGGGAACCTCTATATCATGCCAAGGGTGCTACCATGACGATGAGGCATACCTCAGTTTGTCGAGGGGCCTGACTTCAGCTCGCAGCGGCTGCCAAGGGATGCGTGAGGATGTAGGAGATAGGGTGTGTAGGGGCTCTTCAAGGACGTAGTTTTCAAGGCGGTCAGCCCCATGGGCCTCCACTTCCCTTGCGTCTCTGAATCCAGACGTGGTGACAGCAGTGGGCCAGGGCACTAAGCCATGGCGATCCGCCCCTGATAGGCGAGGGGGCATCTTAGTCACCAGGCATTTTCCCAGCCTTTACGCTTGGGCTACTTTGCCTCGATGCTGTTTGTTGTTGGACACAGTGAGGGGCACAACATTGTAGAAGACGGGCATCATAACGAGGGAGATTTGTCCTCCATCTCGTGGATGCAGGCATGACGTGATTGGGGGATCAGTGCCCAACCCTGCCGATTTGGTGAGAGGGCTTTGCTTGGTCGTGTGGCAAATGTCTCCAACAAGAGATTTTGACTGTGCGATCCCACAGGACGCTCGAGGTGGCTGGTTCTGTTCCTGGCAAGTCTGGGCGCCACAGTGTATTTTGCGCAGAAAATGCGGGACCGGTTGCGTCCATATATGCTGCTGCGTTCGCCAGCCCACTGGACACCCGCCAGACTGGTGATCATTGAAGAATATCAACTCGACATTTGTGGCTCAATTTCTCGGCAGCTCGAAAAATCTCAGAGAAACTTGGGGAGCACAGCAGGCAAGACACCCCCGGCCAATCGAGCCCAGTGGGTCCGTGCCTGTGGAGCAAACACTCCTTAAGGGTCTACACCATCGTTACACAACGAGAGAAAATCCTACTAATCGTACAGGCTGCTGAAAATCCCGTCTTTCACAGAATGCCAACCGACCACAGTTTACAGTGCCACTTGAAATCGCCCGCTGTAGGAACGAATCGGGCTATTGCTCGTTTAACAAAAGTCTCCGCACCGACGCAAATGCAAATGCTGTCCGGCGGACCTGCCCAAGGTGGGTTTGGACCCCTGAAGGAGTTCAGGAGAGACGGGTTGAGATTGGGAGCTTCTGTGCAAGATGCTGCTGCCCATTTTAGGTCGATCTGAATTGCCCTGGGTGTTTTGGGCAACCTGAGAATGTCCCAATGTGAATTTTGGTTGTCCCAATTTCATTATGGCGTACTTGTCCTATCGAGTGTCCCTCAGCTGTGGCTGCCAAATAAGTGCATTGTGCAAACGCATAACCCACCGCCCCAACCACCACCAATCCTTACTCTTGCAAAGACGCAAAATCAGGGTCAATGGAGGCCAACGGCAAGCCGTTCACCTCATTGAACTGATGGAATTTCGTTCAAAACATCTGACAGATGTCTGCCAGACAGTGCACACTGTGCACCCATACAGTCAAATAGGGACACATCTCACAACTGGAGGCGTTCCCTTGCCGCATAGGATATTTCCATTGTTGTTCCTTGATTGGAATGTTGAACTTCAGAACATCCTCTGTGTCATGCACCGATTCGTGCGCTGATTTGTACCGGTTGCCCGTAACTTAAATATGTGTCATTTTCTATTCTCAAAATCATGACTGAATTGAATGCATTCATTTCTTCTGCTGCCCGAGTCTTAAGGCCTGTTACAGCACCTCACCGAACAGGTGTTCTGAATATCAAACTTCTCTTGTTTGCCTGAGAAGCAAAAACCAGGGCTCCCACAACACATGCAAGGTAGACACGTTGTCTGGCTGCCCCTGGGACAATGTCACTGGAGGGCAAATTGCCCATTCAGTACAACGTGCCAGGCTCAATGTTCAGCGGACCACAATCAGGCGCGGAGTGCATTCACTAGAATAGAAAACGGCATGTCTGTGATGCCAACTGCGATGCCATTTTGACGCAAAATGGCTCCATAACAGTGAACGAGCTTTCGTGCAAAATGTCGGTAAGGTCCAAAAGGGTGCACTTGTGCGCAACATCGCGATTATGTGCTTATTGGGGCATAATGGTTGTGCGCAAGATCGGCCATCGGGAAACAATGAAATTTGTGCGCAAAATCGCCATTTTTGAGAGCGCTCACATCACCAGTCCGAGCGCTCTACACGACCAGCTCAACAACGTTTTTAAAAAATACAGGTACAGTACGGGTGCAGCTTCCCACCCCCAACGACCCCACTCCTCAACGTCGCCCCCGCCACCTCTACCATCCACCGCGCCGCCCCCTGTACTCACCCGCCTGACAAACCACCCCACCCCCTGGCGCCTTCCCCCTCACCCC